AATGCTTGGAATACTGTAGGTACCACATGAATATTAGAAGAGAGGATGGCTCTACATCTCAGGGCATCTTTCAGGTATGCCTGGAGACCACAGCCATTCTATGCTGAGGGTGAAGTATGGCACTCAGGAACGAATCTGAACGAGAATTTGTAAGAGAGATTTTAATGCCTTGCAATAAACAGAGAAATGGATAAGAAAAATAAAGATACTATCATGTTATATTTTTAGACCTGTATTTCTACTTTGAACTAAATGTTTCCTAAATCTATTTTTTACAGGTTGCAACCACCATTCTTTCCCTTCTTACAACATATTTAGAAAATTTAAGTAAATGATACATGATAGAGATTTTAATGTTCATTTTGAAGACATTTAATTTCATTTACAATTAAACTAGAAATATCAAAGTTCAATTTCTAATTATTGCCATGTGGCTAAAGGAACACATTTGTACAATTACATCTCCCAGTTATTGATTACAAAGGAAATCAATGCATACAATGCAATACTTTGGCTTACTATTTTATGTTCATTTTCTTTAGTAAAACACATGGGATGGCTGAAATTACAGATGCCTTTTTTCCTTGGATGGATCTCAAGCAAATATTCTGGAACATCTGGAATCTTTCACTCTAGAAAAAATAAACAATAAAGACATTTCTCAAGTTTAATGTGGGTGAAAGTTTGATGAAGGCCTAGAGAGGGCTTTCTTCTAAGCAGGAGAAGGCTGGCTAGTTAGTTGCCAAGAATCCTTAAGCAGTGGCATCTACCTATAGTGTGAGATTAGTCTCTCAGCCTTGTAAGTCTAGTCAATTGATCTTGTCAGGTTTCCACGGTTGCTCAGGCTGTTGCTATTTCCCCTTCTTTTCATTTTTTCCTGAACTCACTGCAGTGGGCTGAGCCACTCCTCTGACCTTGCTCTTACCAAGGTCACCAATGATCTTGCACACCCAGTGCACTCCGCTTACTTATATAACCTCTCTGCTGCATTTACTCAGGATGTGCAGAGACCCTGCTTTGTGCTCACCAGTCCCATTTCCTTTTCCTCCAGGGCCTACAGCCCAACTACATTTCCCAGCCTTTGCCTGCAGTTAAGTGGAGCCACGTGACTAGATGCTGACTAATAGAAAGTGAGAAGTGATGTGTGCCACTTCTGGGCTTGGCCACTTCCACTTACTGCACTCACGATTCTCCATGTGTGCTGTCTTTCTTTCCAGGGGATCCAATAGAAGACACTAAGACCTTAGGGGATGGCAAAGCCAGATGACAGAAGGACCCTAGGTACTTGAGTAACTGCTTTGAGGCTTCCCTTCCCCTTCCCACTAACTTCAGTGGAGTGTGATGTGAATAAGAAGTGAAATTTTACTGTGTTAATCCATTGATATTTGAAGTTATTTGTCATAGTAGTTAAGCTGTTACCGATACTTCCTTGGCTTCTGTGAGGCTGCACTCTTGCCTAAATCTCCTCATATCCCTCTGTCCCTCCATTTTTTAATTTTCTTGGCCTGCTCTACTCATTCCTTAAATATTTTTTTTTAATCTGTTTCCCTAGCCCACCGTTTTCTTTCTTTACATATGTTCTGTGAACAAGTCCATACTCATGGTCTACTTCTGATATGCTGATGAGTTAGAGTAGTAAATGTGTTCCTAAATATTGGATATATTTTTTACTAAATATGTGGATATGAAACTTATTTTGTATCATGTTTTATGAAATTTTGTTTCAATGATTTTGAAATCGTTATTATCTATTTCCTCATCTCCCCCATTCCCTGGTAAATTGAGAGTTGATTATATCCTTTTGTGTAGTTCTTTTATTGGACTATAAAAGCTCCTCATATACTCAACTAGTACTTATTGAATATGTGCAAGGAACTGTCTTATTCTTTTTTTTTTTTTTTTGCTGACAGTGCCTAGTACAGTGCCTTGCAAGGTATAGGCAATTGGTGAATGTTGGTTGAATTGAACAAAATTATTTACTGCATACTTTACATGTAAAAGTCTCTGTGCTGGGGTTACTGTGAGACAAAAATAAATATAAGGCTTGATCTCTGTTTACTCTCTTCACCTCTCTCTATGCCAAACATCCTCTGACCTCCACCCTAATTAACACACGTCATAATATTTGAAATTCCACAAATGAGACTGTCTTAACAATTTTGGTACTCAGAGGTGGGTCCTCTTCGGGTGAGGCCCTAAGATAAATCCAAACTTGGACTTGACTTCATTACTAGGATAGTAGGTTTTTATTTTAATTGAAGTATAGTTGATTTACGATGCTGTGTTAATTTCTGCTGTAACTAGGATAGTAGATTAATCAATGTTTCTTTTTCTTCTTTTTGCCTGCAATTCAGAAGTATTGGAATGTGGAGAATTAACCATTTTTATCCAACATGAAATTGCATTTTCTTTTTGATTAGGTCATTTGAGACCACAGCTTACTTTGTATCTTTTATTGGGCAACCCCATTCACTGGAAAAACTAATAGATTCATATACTTTGCTAATAATGTCAAGTTTTAACGCTTTAACAATAGCCAGTCTGGCTTTTCCTTTCTTTCCTTTTTGTTTTCAAAGATTCTTCCCCAGGTCAGAGCATTCTTTTATTACAGTGAGTAGATGTGCTTTGTGAATTTTCTCCAGGGGTCAAACTGTTTTCCACATCTTGATTTTCATTCTCAACTGCATTTTCCTTTTAATGTCTTTAAATATTTTGGCCTTGAGCCACATAATCTGTCTTTGGATTTTTCTAGTTGCCTGCATTTTTTTTTTTTTTGCATTACCTTATTCAAGATTTCTGCCCTTTTCAAGGTTTCTCCCTCATAGAAGGTTTTTTGACATCTATTTTGTTTATAAAGAATTTCATCAACAATTACTACTTTTACTATTCCAATTACTACCATTATTTATACTACTATTTCTATAGTATTACAGTTTAGTTGCTTAATTCCTGTATAAACAAACAATTTCATTAGTGAGACAAGTTCCTGATCATGGTTGAGTTCTATTTGCTGGTGGTGTGATCTGATGCACATCAGTCAGTCAGTGGTGTACACTCACAACAGAGTTTTTGTTTTTGTTGGTAACTGCTTTTGTAGTGATATGTTATAAGAACATTATAATTTTATTTATTGTAAGTCCAATAGTAAACTGAGAATGTCCAATTTTAATGGATTCTACAGATGAAATAACCCAAAAGACAACCCCCCCAAATTAGCTGAAAATTTATATACATTTGATTGTTTACCCATTTGTGTAAATAAAGAAGAAAATTTTGTATTTTGAAAGAGTCCAAAGAGCTGTGTGACGTTGAGAAGATTACCTAACCTCTCTTTGCCTCATTAGGTTTTAGGTTTTAATGAAATTGAATGAATTAGAACAATGCTTGGTAAATAGTAAGCACTCAAAAGTGTTAGCTATTATTATTAACTAATTCAGCAAGTATAAATACCTGTTGTTTGGAATCTATGTTTGCTGATAATGATGATGAAGTAACCATCCTATAGTAAAGGGAGTGTTTCTCATTCTTGTCAAATACGTGCAATTACAGTGTATTCCTCTGAATGCCAATGACATCTTGAGGGTTTGGAAAAGCAGAGTTTTACGATAGCAGCTAAACTAACTAATGAAAACTTTTTTTTTTTTTTTTGAGAACCCAGAGACTCAGAACAGCCAAAGAACTTATTAAGGCAGGACTAGTAGATTCCTCAGGAAATTTTGATTCATGTCAGACATGTTAGCAACTTTTATGTTTGCTCAGTTCAAAAGCAACGAGAATAGCTCCTAATCAATGTTTCTCAAAGTGTGGTCTGTGAAACTCTGTCCTCAGACTCTGAGGTGGATACTTGTTTAAAAAGTTTTCTAGAAGTCTCTCGGGACCTACTAATTCTTTGAAGGGTAACCAGCATACCGGGTGCTTCTTACATAACTTTAATTCGGAGACCCACAACACATTCAGTAATGCAGGGAGAAAGTATGTTCACAGAATCAAATTGGACCAAACCCAGGGAACCTTTTAGGGTAGGCTTTTCCGTTAACTGAGATGCTACACTTGATGCTCTGCTTGTCCATCAAGCATCTCCCAACAATTGGTCCCCTTAAGATCCAGAAACCTTCTTCTGCCATTACTCTACAGTTGTGACCGGCAATGTCGAGTCCTTTAGCTGTTTTCCTCAACAGTAGAAAGAAAAGGAACTGTGGCCCTCTCGTGATTGTGGAAATCAAATATGGGTCTGTTCCACCTTAAAGGGCCTAGACTTGCCTAAGTGTTTGGGTCTTGCAGAGTTTGGGCACCACCATATTTGGAGCGTGCCTACTTTGGGGCGGGAACCTCCTTGAGAGTGATTAGGTCAGCGCTGGGGGAGGTGACCTTGTTGGGTTTCTGGCACCCGAGAACAGTGGTGCACTGTTTCTGCTGCACCCTTTGGTGTAATTGGCCCAGACGCTCCACCAGCGCGAAGCCGCCGGAGAGCTCCTCGCTGGCCGCCCCCGCGGCCCGCAGCTCGGTAAGAGGCGGGAAAGCAGCGCGCCTGCGCCGTGGGAACCGGGGCCGAAGGCGAAAAGCGGGGAGCGGAGGGGGGCCGTTGGAGCCGAGTAGCGTACAGAGCGGCGTGTGACGCGGGGACGCCGCGCGCTCCCAACGTCGCCCCGGTTTGACGCACACGGCACCAAACTGTGAGTTTCAGGGGTTATTTGGTCGGATTCGCCGGGGCCTGTGTGGGTTTCGGGCCTCTGGGTTGTGGCGGCTGCGGGACTGAGGGTGGCGGAGGAACTTGGGGGACCTGGCCTTCGGCGCTCGGGCCCGGGGAGCTACGCCCTAGGCTGGGTCCCAACCATCCAAAAGGACGCATTTTGCCGCACAGGCTAAGATGGCGGCGGCGGCCGAGGAGGCGGAGTTGGTGCTACACAAGGAGTCCGGGACCCGGGTTCGGGGAGGCGGCGGCCGCGGCGGCCGCGGGGGGCGGCGGTGCTTGAGGTGAGCGGCGGCCGCCGCCGCGGGGCGGGACTCGGCGGAGGTGGGGAGGGGGGGACTTTTCCACGGCGGCGTCGGAGGATCCGGTAGCGGACACAAAGGGGCTGAGCTGGGCACTAGACTTGGGGGTTTTGTTTAGTCACATGAAGCTGAGCAGCCAGTGAGCAGTAGGGGGAAGGGGCCGAGATCAGGCGGCTTGGGGAGCCTTGCGGTCGCCATTGCAATGCACTGAGTAACGGGGCGGTCCGAGAGCAGCCACCAACCCCTCTCTTTGGGGCTGCTCTGCCTCGGCCAGAAGCGTAGGCTCTGGCGTTAACTGTACACACCCCTCCCCTAACGTGGGACCAGGACCGCAGAGCCCTCCCCTCCCCCTGTTTTGCAAGATCTTATGCCGATAGGTGCCTGGGAAGTAACAGCAAGAGGTAAATCGCTCAAAGTGTTTGGGTTGCCAGGGGCTTGGTGGGTGTCCAGCTAAAGCTTTTTGCTTCTCCAGGTCTGATTCCCTGGCCTTTGTGTCCCTGGGAGCTTAATCTCTGCCAGAGGAAAGCAGGTGTGCTCCACTCCTCCCGTGAACCTGAAGATGAGTTGTCCCAGACCCTTCTCAGTGATTGGAAACTTAGGTGGTGGAACTAACGGTTTCTTGTTACGAGACTTCCACAGACGACTCTCGTGTTGGGATCCATCCATGGTTTAGCAACATTAGTGGAAAACTTTTCTTGAACTGTTTTAAGTAATATTGACATAAATTTAGTTGTTATAAAACTTTTATGTTTAGACTTCATATTTTGTGTGGTCATTAAGAAGTACTCAACGAGGAGAGAAACACAATTGAGAGCCTGAATGATGGTCCTGTTTTGTATACAAGTTAATAAATTCAACAGAAATAACCAAAACACCATCATCTATTCTGGCCAGTCCTAACTAATGCCAGGCTTGTTGCATCTGGATGATAGATTAGATTTGCCTTAATAATATATTGCCTCTCTGCAGTAGTTTAGTTACATAGTTTTGGTCCCACAAGAAAAAGAGCATTTCAAAAAATAGACAACTCAAATTGCTCAAAGCAAGGAAACCTGCTGTTTGCCTTCAGCCATATGTGTAAGTATCCAGGGAACTAGATGGCAGCAATATTACATCGATAGGTTTTTGTAAGAAAAAATTATAAAGAAGTTACAGCTTAGTATAGACATTTTAATAGGTGAAACACGAAGGCTTGACTAGTGTTAATGCAGTGATGTGTATATTGCTGTTAAAATCATGGTGGTGTAAGTTTTAGAATTTCTAACAGTTTAAACTTATACTGCACTTACATCTGCATCGTACTTGGTATATTTGTAATACTTAAAGTACAAAATTTGGAAACAACTAATGTTTTGGCTAGGTCACATTAACAAATTAAATTACTTGAGGGGTATTTAAGCACATTTATATAACTAGCTTTAGATCCCTGTTCAAATCGAATTTGAACTTTTCAACATTACTTAAAACTTTCATTTTCCTTGTTTTTTCCCAGATTTATGTTTCCCCCCTTTTAGGTTTCTCCTTCTAATAGAGAACACTCTTGTGTTAATGAATAGGAGATATATTAATATCAGCAAAATTGTTATTGAATCATACAGTTTTAGTGTAGAAGGAACCTTAGAGAACAAGTAGTATTACTCTCTCTTTTTCAATATATTAAGGGCCAGAGATGATTAAGTTAATGGCATGATGGAAAATTGTCTCTCAACTTATACCCCATTGGTCTTTTCATTGGTCACATTGCTGGGATAAGGAGGTGACTATCTGCAACTAATAATGGTTATAAAACAAAACAAGGGAGTATGCTTGAGAGTACTTGTTATTCAGATACTATTATATTAATGAGAAATTCTGTGACAATAAAACTTTTATTTAACTTGATATGGTAACTTAGTTTTTAAAGTGACTTCCAAAGTGAAACAAAATCAGTTACAAAATCCAGACATTTCAGATAATTTCAAAGCAATATTGCTTTTGAATTCTGAGGTTTCCAAAACAGTCGACTCAGAGATTTGAAAAACAGAACAGGTAGCTTGATAAACTTCTTGGAAAGTTTGAAGTAATTGCCATTTCTACTAGTTATTAGATAAGAAATGAGATAGAGGCTTGAAACAGTGATGCTAGTGCATTTCATTTTGTAATAGTGTTTTAGTTGGAAAAATGGACATACCGCTTTGCCTCCTGTTAAAAACAACTTGTTAAGACTAACTAGTACTACTGCTGAGTAGTAAATCTGTAACATCTGTTAGGAAATTCAACAAGTAGTAAAATCATTTATGATGGGGTCCCGCAGTTATCTTTAACTTTAGATATCACGTTTAAAAAAAAACAGGTAAATTGTCTTTAGGTTTTAACGTTTTTATGGGTCTTTTAAGGTGCACTTAAATTATTGATTTTTCTAGGAAAGTTGATATATTTCTTAATTTTCAACACTATGTGAGTGGATTTAATTATACTTTGGTTTTGTGATAATTGAGATTACTCCTGGATTCTCTGTATCAATAATTATGAAGTGAGTCTGTCACCTGCAGACCTTAAACTTTTTGCAGGTTTAATTTGTCATTCAAGTTATAAAAGAGGGAGAAGTTTGTTGTGGTTGAATTGAGACTGTATTGGGTAACAGGAGGAGAAAAGAAAGACTCAAGGACAGTTACTTAAAGTGGTGGGGTTACCTGCAATTTAAAAAATTTAAAGAAATCGATTGTTAGAAAAGATCAGGTTCATCTTTCTCTCACCCCAAATATATTACTAGTGTTTAGGGTTACTTATTTAGACTCTTCTCAGAATGTGATTCTAAAGGAAAGCGGGGGATCTTACTCTTGTGGGAATGCTTTTCTCATGGCTGCTTTTTCAGACATATATTAAGGCAACTATAGCTTGCACCGAATGCAGAAATTGGAATGTTGAATTATCCAGCCCTAATTTTTAAAGAACACTAGTTTTAGCAGTTCTTTTTTAATGTTTAAAAATTTTTTAAATTGATAGTCTGTAAAATAAAACATGAGAATAAAGGATGGATACTATAATGTTTTGGCTATTCAAATAAGCTCTAATTTTTTTACATTTATTTGTTATTAATCCATCTGGTATAGAGAATGTCTGCTTTGTAGATAGAGAATCTGTAAATATTGAACAGAATTGTGTAGCACTGACTGAAGCAGTTTTAGAAGTGTTGTCTTTTAATTCAGGTTTATTAGGAAGGAATAGCTGCTTTTAATAGTGCAACCCATTTATATCATTGAATTTTGAGAAAACTGAGAATAATCAAACTGATACTAGCACTAGCTCACCCTGCTGGTTGGCTAAAGTATTTCTCTTCTTTCCCCTCTTAAAACTAAACTAAACTAAACTAAAACACCAAACATAAAGATCACTTGAGACCTAGAAGGTAGAACACCAAGTTCAATTCGTGGTCTTTCTTCAGATAGCTGGAATCTCCATGAAAAAGGTGTATTATTATTCTCTCTAGGGCCTCAGTTGCTGTACTGTTTAATTTTTTCTTAGATCTGCTGAAGCTGAACTGTGAAGTTACTATCCTCTCTGAATTTACTGGGAACTCTTAGTGATTAGGAGGAGTTAGTATGTTTTTGTTCCTTTAAATTCAAGATAAAAGATCCTTTGACTACTGAGAGATGTTAGCAGTCCTGTGAGATAAACTTTCCAGGAGGAGAAAAGTCGAGGATTTCAAGAGGAGGAAGAGGAGAAAAATGCTAGGGTAGCAGCAACAGCAGTGCATACTTCTCTTGGATGAAGGAAAGCGAGACTGTATTAAGATTAGCGTTTCTAAGAGATTTCCCTTGTACCTCTACTAACGGTTGCCCTAACTCCTCTTCTGTCTGTAAGCTGTAGCCTTCCCATTTCATTTGGGATTCTTGGAACTGTGATTTTGTAGGTAGCTTTGTTTAAAGTATGGATGAGTGATTTGTTCCTTGAAATATGATTCTGTTAGTCTAAACTGTGATAGAAGTGAAGTTGGTTAGAGTGATAAACAATGTTTTAGGTATTAAGCTTTTTAGAATGTATATCATTCATTGAAATTGAAAATACAGTTTTATTTTGTTTAATTGAAATATAGTTGATATACAATATTATTTTAGTTTCAGGTGTACAACTTAGTGATCAACATTTAAATACATATGGAATGATCACCAGGATAAGCCTAGTAACCATCAGACCCCATACAGAGTTATTATAATATTATTGACCATATTTCTTATGCTGTATATTATATTACCTCCCCATGACTTACTTATTTTAAAATTGGAAGTCTGTACCTCTTAATTCCTTTCACCTATTTTGCCCATGCCCCTCCCCATTCTGGCAACCACCCTGTTTGTTCTCTGTATCTATGGGAAAATACAGCTTTTAAGAGACTTTGTACAAAGTCAGGAAACTAAATATGTTGTGAGTCAAAAGGACAATTTCAAATTAAAAAGCACCTAATAAAGTGTTGGGATTAAAGTTCAGTTTGCAAACCATATTTACCTGTATTATATCAGTTATTTATCTAATATTTATGAAGGTTGAACATTTTTATCCTTTCTTCCAGAGTATTTATCCTTTTACTTGAAAGCATAATATCTTTTCATCAGTTTCTTGAGGAAGATGTCAAACATAACTAGTATTTTCAAAACACCAATTACCGGGGAGGGGGATGGTTCCTAATTATTGTTGAATAGTTTGTGCAGGATGGGAGGATAAGGTTTAAAAAGTGTAAGCCTTGAAGTAAAACTGGTGTGGTTAAGATCTAGCTGTGTGAGCACTAGGCAAGTAGATTTAACAATAAGAAATCTTCATAGAGATTTAGGTTTATATTACATAATTCATGTAGTAAAGTCCTTAGCTTTCTGATATGTGATGAATGCTGAGTAAATGTTAGCTGTTAGAATAATAGTTATTATTATTATCATCATTGTTTAATTTTGTTTCCTACAGTAACGTGAAGTTTTCACCTGTGAGTGATCTGAAGTTGTATACTTTTTCTAACGTTCCATTTTGAGGCCCATATCTACAAAGGAAGTAAGAGACAGTCATCAAAGTGTGGCATCTCCAGTTCTAGCAGCTAAAGCTATAACCAGGGTCAATATTTCGGGAACACATTCTCTTTTATGGCTGTCAGCTAATGATGATGATGATAATAATACATTTGGGAGTGAGTGCATTTGAGTGAAGGGCTTTCCCAACCCGTGGGTTGGTTTGCTTCATTACAACATCCTCAGTTTCTTCACTCCCCTTTAAATTCTTGACCATGAGGATGGTGGTGACCATTAGTAGAGAGAAGCGGGTGAGTGGCTATGTGTATTTGTATATAAAGTACACAGAAGCCCCAGATGAGAGTGAGGAGTGGCTTCAGCAGAAGCTAGATTGAGGAGAAGAATGTTATCTTTTCATTACTTAGTCTGAGTCAGGGGAATTTCCTCAAACAGCATTTCCTTTTGCTGTTTTCCTCTCTACACTTCTCTTTGTTTTGTATATATCTCTGCTGGTATAGTCTTAAACTTATTTCCCACTTTAAGTTTTTCTTGTACCACCTACCTTCCCCACCACAAACACAAATTGTAAACTTTAAAAGAAACTGTAAAAGGCAGTTAGTAAAAGTTCTTTTAAGTTCACATGAGGAGGGGGTGTGAGTATGAAATATCAGAAGTTTAATATTTGTTGAAAAAATATTTTCAATGGTTTGGAAAAGGAAGTGGGGGGAAGTCACCGATAATGTTTTCACCATTATATAATCATTAGTATTAAAGGAAAGGGAGAAGAGACTGACATTAATTAAGCATCTAGTATGTATTCCTTATAATTATGCTGTGATATATATATATATTCCCATTTCATATGCAGGAAAACAAACTCAGACTTGGGTCACGTAGATAGTAAATAGTAGAGCAGCCAAGTTTCAACCTAGGCATATCTTGATTCTACAGATGAGACCTTTCTATTCTGCCTTCCTAGCCTTTCTTTCTGTATATCTATGTTTTTACCTTATACAGTTGTAAGTTTTGTCTCCTCCTTATGAAACGTAACATTATAGAAGCGTTTTTCTGCATACCCTTATTTCAAGTGGTGTCTTATTGCCT